TCGACTATATACTTATCTATCTATATTATTACAATAATCAAACTAAGGGGAGAGGCACTTGAGAAATATTCCCTACTTTTTTTTTTCTAATTCTTTAGAATTTTTATTTATTTAATTATATTCATCATATTATTACGCAATATTTTGACTCATGTAATTTATAACTACACTTTCACTCTCTTATTATTATTATTTTTTGATTAAACAATCAAGAATGTCCAGATCAATTTATGTAGATCTCGATTAATTTTTTCGACTAAATATATGTTATCCACCCTGAAATTGAGTGTTTATAAAGAATAATTTTTTCATGGCCTGACCCTATTCGATCTCAAGACGTTTAGGATTTCAATTTGTTTTTATTAGTACTTAAGTTATGAGATTTTTTTAAGTAATCANTATTAGTTTTTTCCTCTTTTGTAACTGTTCGATGAATGAATAAAGATCATTTCCTTCTTGGCTCTTCTTCTTCTCAAGCTTAATATTTGTCAACTGACACAAATCTAACTAACGTTCTCAGAATATTTTAGATTGCTGATTCAGTATTGGTGTTTCTTTATTAAAATGTGTGGGCTTTAAAAGGTGAACAGGTTGAGTAAAGTTGAGGTGGTGGAGTTTGTTAATCTGTTTTTTGGCTATGGATCAAGCTGATATTTTATGCATTATCATTGTATATTTCTCACTCTTTTCAACCTTAGTGTTACCCGCTTTTAAGGGCATGGTACTTCCTCATGCTCTTCCATCCAATCCAAAAAAGAACTAAAGATTGTTTCTTGATTTTTTTTTCCAATTCCAAAAAATATAAAACTTATGTTTTACTGTCTACCTGTCAGAAAAACCTCAATATAGTTTTTCGTTTCTTTTTGTCTTCTCAGATTGTTCTAAGTTTGCAAAATTTTCATTCTTCTTTGTTATTTCAGTGCGGACATATGTGAAGAGAAGTTTTTGGCATACTTCTGGTGGTTTTATGATAGATTGAAGGCGTGTACAGATATGTTAAATTTGATTTCCTATTTGTTGTAAAAAATTTGATTCATTTTATGAGCCTTTTTATGATATTTTTACCGATATTTTGGTCAATCATTGTGGGAGTAACATTGCAGGAGTGTTGTTGATTAATAATTTGAAGCTTCTTTTTGACTATTTTTCCTAATACTTAATGTTCTTCTTTGGTTCGTATATGCTCCTTAAAATCAAAGTTCTAAATATTGGAACAAACTCACAGCATTTACATTCATGATGGAATTCTATAATGAATTGTTATGAATATGAGGCCGTCATTATGCAACTGTGTGCTACAGAGTTCAACATTTTTTGCTTTTAGACTATTTGCGCGTGTTGCTAATGCAACCGATATTAATGAGAAATTGAAGATGGCAGAAGAAATTCTGAGTAGTTTTCTTAATTACTTCATATGACTTCTGGTGATGCTGCTGGTTCTGTGATCGGGTCTTCCCAAGGACTTGACTGTGTTGCCATCCACCAATTTGCTCTTTACTTATCCCTGAGCGGCCTGCCTTTTTTTCAGAGAAGCCAAAAACAAAAAAAATCGTGCATTTGGTTGAAAACCTTTCAGGTTGATCTGGCTATTTTGTACTACCTCTTCTGGGAAATTCCTATGAACCCATAGGGACAGCATGCTGTTTTTACTGTCTTTATAGAGAGAAATAAATGGTCTACCTATAATTCTACAACTCCAAAGCACATTGCTTTCGTAGAAATATGAAGTTTCTCGTACCCGGCTTTTGCTATTAAAAGCAAAATTAAAGAACTTGGGATCTAATGGAGTGAAACAAAATTTCATCTGCATGACTCGTACTGTAGAGTGGAAAGCTGGACTAGCCTAATTGATGTTATTGCCATGGTGACTCAAAGGGGCTACATCTTTTCATCCGGAAGTTTTGATTGAAACGCTACGTGCTGGATTTGAACATTGAATCATTTTTAACTGCTTATATAAACAGTAACATTTTTCTGTTAATATGAATTAGAGATATATTTTTAATATAACTGGATAAATGGGTTGGTTATTGGATGGCATCCTAGTTAATGGCCAATCCACGCTAATGCTAGAATGTCCTTTACTCCTGTTTGTAGACCAAAATACAATGGGAAGAATGTAAATGGGGAATCAGTCGTCTAGTTCAATTTCACCAGCCATTTGCATAAGATCCATATCTGCTCTCATATTGTATTAATCAACAGCGAGAAAAAATGAAAAAAGGCTATTTATTTGTTTTAATGTGCTTTCTTTGGACCATGTGTGTTTCATGGGTTCATTTTTGGTGGTTCTGTTGTCAATTGTAAGCAGGGAAACACCGGTGATGAGATACCTATGCCTACTTATTTTCGTTTCCTTCCCTTGCTTGCCTTCAAAATATTTGCTGCAGAGCAGGTATACGTGTAATTCTGTTTTTGAAATTACATTAGCATATATCATCACATCGGATAGTCGTTAGATATATTGTCGGGGATGAAATTGTGTCCAAAAGTTTAGCTCAAAGTGGATTTAATTATATTGTGGTGCAGGTGGATGTTGCTATCATGGAGGTTGGGTTAAGTGGAAAATTTGATGCAACGAATGTGGTAGGCATTAGATATGTGGTTATCTTGGTCATAGAATACAGTAATTCTGCTCATCAGATGGTTAATGCTTGCATCCTATTGAAATTCAGGTTCAGACACCGACTGTGTGTGGTATATCTTCCCTTGGATATGACCACATGGAAATTCTTGGTTAGCATTCTATCTCCATGATTTTTTGGTGACAACATAGTCTTGGTTTTTCTTTGTCCATGATATACCTTGCTGCNATGAAAGAGACACTGGGGCACTATTAGATGACATTGTTTGAAAAAATATTGGTTTGAAATTTTTCCACTCTTTTTTTTTCTTCTATTTTTTAAGCAAAGATGGAAATTATATGTCACATGTGTATTTGTACTGGTTTTGGTTGGATGTGTAAACCATATCTACACATTTGCTTATGTTGTGAACATATTAGAAGACATTTGGAAAATTCCTTTTTATATCCTACCAATGTGTGATTGATTTAAGGAATACCAAAGCGTAGTATGTTGAGGAGTTTCATAACCGATCTTGTGTTTTATTGAGCGCACGTCAAACGTGGATCATAGAATGAACATCAATGTTTATTAAAGTTGTGAATCATTATTATTATTTTTATTTTTATTTGTAAGTTGTGAATTTTGGGAAATGTTGTCCACGACATTAATATACAAATTTCATACTCAAAAAGGTTTACGTGCAACACACATGTACATTGACTAGTGGATAAAAATGTACATTAACAATCTATCTTGTAGTGTACATGTTTGATGATCTGTATTTATGGAGAATGAGGTGTTACCTGTCTGACGATCGTGTTTATGGAGAAGAAGGTACATTAATGTCTATATATTACTGTATCAATTTGACAATTATTGTGTACATGTTATTTTTTGGCTCAAAGGTATACATATATATATATTTTAATTGCGTACTTTTTTTTTTTAGTTTTTCTGTTTTACGATTTGTGTTTATGGACAAAACTATAAATTATGATGATGTAATTTTTTTAAATAAGTGTTTAAATTAGGTGATTGTATTGCCATTATTTTTTGCAAATATAAAGAGCCTTAATTACATACATTACTTTGACTTTTCAACAGAGGCCTAATTCTAAAGAAAATTATCAAGTAGATTTTTTTTAGAATCCTATTGGACATAGGGATCGGTCTCCAAATCCCTCTTTTTTTTTTATCTTCTTATCATTGTCTACATATTTTTGATATATTTTAAACATATTTTATTATGTCTATCCTATTATTTTCTTTTTATATCAATAAATATAATTTCGTATCACACATATCAAATATTTTTGGATAAGTTTTGAATATATTGGAGTCATTTTATAATTCTAAGAAAGTTGTGCAATGTTAATTTATAAATATTAAAAAAAAAGTTAAAACACAAAATTATAAAATCACTTTCAAATTAAGAAAATCCAAATATAAATATGTTTGACCTATCATGTTATTATCATCACACCAAGATGAGTGACTCATCATGCGAGAGAGCAAAGCCGAGAAAGGAGAAGTGAACAACGCCTACACAATTTTTCGGGCGGGGGTAAACAAATTAAAAGATCAATCTAAGCTCAACCAAACATATAAAATCTTCTAACTCAAGAGCTCAATTTAATATGAGTTTAACCTGATCAACTTCAATCCAAGTCTAACCCTTGATTGAATTTTTGAATTCGAGTTAATCTCAGTTTAGATGATTCAAGTTGTAATTCGGGTTGAAATTGATTTTCTGATTAATTAATACTCAAATTGACCTTAAAATAGGGTTCAATTTTGTGTTCAATGCCAAAATTGAACTTATATTCAATAATTTTCATTAATCAAAACCATTTAAAAAATACAAAAATAAATTTCATATCTGCAATAGGTTTAAAATATCAATAACTAAGAATAAGGAATGCAACACAAATGTTCGAACATTCTATATATATGTACTAGTTATTTTCTGTGCCTGAAGACANACATAGCTTGGAGTTCCAGCTTTTACTGTGCCCCAACCGGATGAAGCAATGTGTGTGCTTGAAGAGAAGGCTTCCCAGTTGGATGTGAGTTGAGAATCTTTTCTATTAGTGACGATGGTCTGCTACAGTTTATAAGGACATATTCAGAATCTTGCTCCTAACAAGATTGATTACTGTGGATCAACATGGGGACTCTACCCTGTTTTGACTTTGGAGGATGGTAGTTAACTTGGCTTGGGTTGGTAGCTCAAGCCACGGGTTTGAATTGTAGAATGCAACCCTATAAACAGTTATAAGGCCTAAAAATGGCTGTACCTCTCTTTTTAATAGAAGGGAAAAGCAAAAGAAAAAAAACTTTAACCTGCCATTTTGATTGGTTCAACAAAACAGGATTCTTTCAGGATACTCCTTTGGATTCTGATTACAATTTTGATTTTTAACTTGAGAATTTATGGGACTTGAACCCATGGCCTTGGAAGAGATACCTGCTCATCATGCTGCATGGGCTCTGAGGCCTGTGGTGTAGTCAAGGACCTTAAGTTGCAGCAGCTACCTTGGTTGCCCCTACCTAACTTGTGCCATGATAAATTGGAAAGAGTCGTATAATGTGGTGTTTAACAGAGTTTTGAACAGATTATGCTCATTACAGGTACATCTTCAAGTAGCAGCCCCGTTAGACATCAACTTGCTGAATGGTCTACATCTTGGGCTTGACAGTGAGCACCAATATATAAATGCTGGTCTTGCTGTTGCATTAAGCTCTACTTGGCTTCAAAGGACTGGCCATCTTGAAGTCAATTACCTGCTGCAACAGACTGTAAGTTATGTCAGCAGACAGTATTCCATTCAATTTGTGGCTTGGTATGGTAAACATCGTTCCTTTGGTTTTTGTATTGGAATAGACCTCTCTGCCTGAGCAATTCATTAAAGGGTTAACAACTGCTGCTTTGCAAGGACGGGCTCAAGTTGTCCCTGATCAGCTGATGGGGATTGAAAGCCCCGGAAATCTCGTGTTCTACTTGGATGGAGCCCATAGTCCTGAAAGCATGGAAGTATGTGCAAAATGGTTCTCTCTTGCAATCAAAGATTACCATGAGCCAATGTCCTTCAGTAATTTGGTAGATGATTATAAAAGAGCTTCACTTGAATCAGTACGGATGGACCACCATGAGACTTCCAAGAAGAATCTCACACAGGTAAGGGCCTTTCAACCTTGTTGGATCTGTATAAGTTGAGGAATTCATAAGATAGGCGATGTAATATCTAAATTCTTTCATAGATATGTTAGAGAGCATGTATAAACTGCCTGAATTGGCAAATGAGAATGTGGGTTTGTGCTTGAAAGCAGCCCCCATGAGCGTATTATGCAAATGTTTGGCTTATCTCCAGTTGACCCCTCATAGCAACCCATATTGGTGGCAGCAGCAATTACTAATGCCCTTTTAATTTTTTAAGAGTCTAGACTCTAGAGCCACCTTGGCAGGTGGAGGTTTGAGCTTTGAACCCTATACTTTTGTTACTCATTTAGATAACCTGTGGTTCTATGGTGGCAAAAAAATGAAAAACTCAATTTTAAAAAGCTCGGGTAAGCTTAACTTACGCAATGTAATAGCTTTTTATGCAGTGTTATTCAACCCAGCATGGTGGGTCAACCCGGGAACCCCGCCAACCAGTGCATGAACTGGGTCAGTCCATAAATTAGATCGCCAGGCACCTTTTATGGAACCCCTATAAAACAGACAGTTTGCATTATTCCGCACGGGCCTATTTCTTTATATTAAGACAATCATTGTTTTGCCCTAAAATAAAATGTTCTCTCTCGGCCTAAGCTCATGATAGCTCCAGCTCTGCTCCCCTCATCTTGAGGCTGCCTAGCCAAGGCTACTTTTCAGTGCTAGAGGTTGTGGTTGAAGTATACTTCTTATAGACACATATTCCTCCTTTTTTTCTTATGCCTTTTCGATGTGGGATGAATATTACCACTGAAATGCGTTACCACTGAAATGCATTACCCCTGAAATGCTTTTTTTCCAATTCTTTTATACCTCTTCAGTACCTGTCTTGTTCTTACAATTTTTTTGTCTTTTTGTTTGGTCATTACAGTGTTACATATTGTTTGCAATGGGCTTTTGGTCCAATGATACTCCTTACCTTGTGAAGGTTTTATCTTCTTGCCCGCTCCCCCTCCCAAAAAAAAAAGTATTCTGCTTAGGCCAATCTTCAATACCTATTTGTGGATTTTTTGATACTTATTAGATCTTATAAATTGTCTAAGAAAATCAATAGAATTGATATTTTTGTGTTTTTTATTTGATATACTATACCTAAAACATGATATATCTATAACTATGGTAAGTTTTTAGTATAGTGATAATCATTAATATATATTTTTTATTTGTTATTGTATGACCAATCCGACTGGTGGACCCATTGACCTGGTTGCTTGCCAAGTTGATACCCAAACCGGTTTTAGTAACTATGTTTTTATGCCATGAAAAGGCCGAGAATGACAAAGGAGATCTAAATATTTGGATGCACACTGTTTGGATGCTTTATAAACAGATGCACTCTTTATTGCTCATGTGGTAAACATGACTGTGGACAAAATTTGAACTGGCTGAATCATCTTAAACTCCCAACTAAAAATCAGATTCTTTGCCAAATTCTGCCTTCGTTTCCATCTCAGTGAGATCTTTTGTATACCATCCAATTCTATGATGTCATGTGAAACCTGAGATAAAAAAGTGTGCGCCCATTAATGCATCAGTCAGTAAGCCAAGCAGTATATGTTGCAATTAAGTTGTGCCTTTTACTTCTATTAGTTTTAGACGTTTTCCACTTGTAAAGTTGCTCTAATGGTATCAAACCCCAACAATGGGAGTTTCTGACTTCTCCCCATACTGCCTTGTTTGTCTTACTTCCAGGAATTTCTACATTCAAGAAATGGGGATATGTACCCTAAGATGCATTGAACCCCATAAAGCTGCGTGTTCACAGTGAACTTATTTTTAGTTGTGTATTCATCATATATTGCAGAATTTTATACTATGGCTGTTATGGAACACCTTGATTTCTGGAAGTTCAAAATCTTTTTTTTATCAGAAGAGATATTGCACATGTCTCTCACTATGCATTTGTTAATGCGCCATTTTTAATGCAGATTTTGTTGTTCAATTGTATGTCAGTGAGAGACTCTCAGTTGCTTCTTCCACGCCTGATGAATGCTTGTGCTAGTCATGGTAAATATTTGAGCTACGTGCACCTATTGAATTATTACTTTAATTAGTGGATTTGGAGGGATGATACAACAAAGAGTTAATGTGCATGTTCTTCTGACGTGATCTAGACGAATGTCTTTCATGTGTCTTTAAAGTGGACAGTGAACACTCTTCACCACCCAAGCTGTGCGCAATGTTTAAGGGCAAAAACTGATGCAAAATCAATGTCATCATAGCATTCTTTTTTAAATATTAATGAAATATCATGGCATTCTGTTTTTGAAATATATTCATGAATTTTTTTTTTTTGATAAAAAAAAAAAAATTTGTGGTGTTTCAGGAGTCCAACTTAAGAAGGCGCTGTTCGTACCAAGCATATCAATGTAATACAAGGTGGGTTCCAGTGCCTTGCCACCATCTGAAACTGAAGTGGATCTTTCATGGCAGCCGACTCTTCAAAGATTATGGGNTGATAAAAAAAATAAAATTTGTGGTGTTTCAGGAGTCCAACTTAAGAAGGCGCTGTTCGTACCAAGCATNTTTGATAAAAAAAAAAAAATTTGTGGTGTTTCAGGAGTCCAACTTAAGAAGGCGCTGTTCGTACCAAGCATATCAATGTAATACAAGGTGGGTTCCAGTGCCTTGCCACCATCTGAAACTGAAGTGGATCTTTCATGGCAGCCGACTCTTNATATCAATGTAATACAAGGTGGGTTCCAGTGCCTTGCCACCATCTGAAACTGAAGTGGATCTTTCATGGCAGCCGACTCTTCAAAGATTATGGGAGAATCTCGTCCATGGTGAAAAAGGTATTGTTCTTACTGTTGTATGTACACACATGTATCAGGCTTTTTTGCTCTTGCATGTTATTTCTATTGTTTTTTCAGTGAATCATAGTTTACCTGTTTGTGAATCAGTGTTACTTTACGTCCTCATTATTTTGAAAACCATACTTCACCCCCTTAGTGTTTAGGACTATAGTGCAATGGCTTACGCTGTTAATAATTACTTTAAAAAGAAAAATAGTGACCTTCATATGTTTCTCTCTTAGTATTTTTCTTTCTATTTTTTTTTAACAAATTGACAAATACATTTAATGCATGTAAAGAGAGGAGAGAGAAGGAGATTGTATTTATTTTGAACAGAAAAAGAAAGAAAAAATATACTATGTATAAGGGTATAAAAATAATTATCATTGGTTTAAAACAAAAATTTATCCATTATTCACCCTGGCTTTTCCCCGAAAGAAACCTGCTAAAGTAGCAGACCTCTTTCCTGCCCACTTCCCCCTATTTTTGGTCTTCACTGCATGCCTCCACTATACTATCATCTCCTTCGCAATACCACTTCTCAGATTCTCCATTTGTCAAAGATGTGTTTGTATTCATGTTTGAAAATGAGCAAAAGGAGCCATTGCACTTCTCTCCTTTGCTAAATCCTGTCCATAATTCTAGCTAAACCCTACCACCTTGTTTCACAAAACAACCCTTACCACTGGATTCATCGTGCATTGCCTGTCACCATAGTGCTCCATTTTGCCCATTGCTACTAGTCACCATCTCCCCCGACTTGGCACCATATTCCTTTCCAAATTGCCAAATGTTTGGAAACTGATCTGTTGTCGTCAATCAAACAAATGCAAACTATTCTGTTGTCATCAATCAAACAAATGCACAGAACGGATCCTAGATTTGATCCCACTACCATAACCAATGGCGGGCCAAACCTCTTCTCCACAGCTGCCACCGACCTGAAAATGAACCCCTAGGGTTAATACTGTTAATTATAAATCATTTATCTATATTGTTTTTTATGTATAATCATATTCAATGGTTTGCAAACAAATACCCTTTTATTTATTGAATGACCTGGATTTTAATCTCCCAATTGATGAATGTAGTAGATCAATGTCCCATTCATCAATTGGGACACTAGTGAAGGAATTCAAAATAGATTTGCAACTTCACCAGCCTCTTTTTCAAAATAGATGTGCAACTGCAAGGAAGAAATGTTGTTTTAATTGGCATGGATTGTAACTCCGATGGTCCATTTACTTGGTAGGAAGTGATGCAACAAAACCAGATCTATTTTGTGAAGAAAGTCTCAATGATGAAAAAAGTGTCAGGAGTTGTGATGACAACATGGTGTTTCCTTCTCTTCCATTAGTTATCAATTGGCTCAGAGACAATGCCCGGAAAAATCAATCTGTTCACTTTCAGGTATTGTGAAATTTTGCCTGTAAAACTTTAGTTAGAACATCTTGAAGTAAGCTGCTTGAATATGAAAAAAAAAACGTTTCATCTGACTGAAGATATGGTGATCATGACTTGCTTACTCTTCCATAAATTTCCAGTGAGAATTAAGAACTATGGCCTGATTTTGAGCAGTTAATCTGGTTAAAAGAAATAGGTAAAAATTAGTGAACACTGTTCACAAGGTGAACTATTGCAAGACATGATACCATGTCAAGGAATGCAAGACAATTTTGATGGCCATCAGGTTACTGAATTTTTCATGAGACCAAGATCGTGTTGCATCTCGTGATGAGGTATGAAGCACAGACCTGATACATATATGTCGACATAGAATTCCTAAAAATTTAGAAGGCATAAACGGTTAATGTTTTCTAATAGTAATTTTGATGAATATCAAATGATATATATAGTATGTCTGTATAAGATGTAATTATACAATATAAAACATTATGATAATTAACCTAGTACTCTAAGATGGACGTTTAGACTATTGGATAATAACAATTAATAGTTGTCCATTTCTAATAGACAAAGCTAGTAAGCATACATAATCATATTATTTCCTCTCAGGTTTTCAATCCCTGTTATTTAGTAGCACCTTTCAGTGTTTTTTCCTGTAAGTTTTTAAGTAAATTTTTGTTAGGATTGATGATGAAAACTATACATTTTCCAATTTTCAAGTTTATTTTCCAAATGGTTGCAACTGTACATAAAATGTCAACTGAGAGTATTTTTGGTCTGATAAACGACCTAAGAAGGGTCAAACACATTGTCAAAGGAATCCTGATACGGGTCTGAAATTAAGTTTTTTGTTTTCATATTATGGGCATGGCCTAAGGAATATCATATTTGTGTGCGAGTAGTATTGGTGCCCAACTCGGACACACAACTGTCTTAGAAGTGTCCGTGCTTCTTAATGATGACGAAACGTGATGCTTTCCTTTTTGCTGTGAATTGAAAGTTCAGATGGACAAGCAAAAATTACCATTAATAAGTTGGCCATCAATTCTCTAACTGTGTATAGTTAGCGGCGGGGTCTTGTAAAATTATGTTGTCAACAGTTAGCAACATATTGTGTTTCTCAAATTATCAATGGATTTTGCAAATTATGTTGTTATTATGTACTTCCTTGTTTTTTCATATTTATATCTTGTTTGCTTCCTCCTAATCTATTCCCCCTCCCTTTCTCCTTTCTCCTTTCTCCTTTCTCCTTTCTCCTTTCTCCATCCTCCTCTTCTGGTTGATCTTTCAGGTCCTTGTAACTGGTTCATTACATCTTGTGGGTGATGTGTTGAGATTAGTCAAGAAATAAGGCGTGTGCTGCATTTGGTTTGAGCTGCAGCAGATTTTGGGGGTTCACGATTACAAAGTTGAAAATGGACTCGAAATTCAGGCCTCTCTTATGATTCCATCTTGAAGTGCTTCCATTGCATGCTGTATTAGGAAGAGCTTTTGAACCCAAGGTTGCTGTCGCAGGGTTTTTTAGCCTCTTCATTGTCAACTATTTGTGCATTATGCTAAAATTTAGAACTCAAGTTTAAATTATCGTTAGCCAAGTAGTGTTTGATACGACGCTTTCTGTTTATTAATATGCAAGGTGTTGAGCATTTTTCAATGGAGTTTTTCATATTTCACTTTTTTTTTTTTTTTTTTTTTGGATGGAATGTGCAAGATGTTGGACGAAATTTGGTAATCAATGTGAAGTCAGTCATGCTGATTTCTGGAGCATAAAAAAATCTTAAAAATGAAGCCCAGGACATATACAAGAAAATTATTTTTTAGCGACGAATTTTAGCGACAAACAATAAAATTAGTTGTTGAAAAGTGATTTTTGGCAATGATTTCAAAAGTTTCTTGTGATTTTTATTTTTTATGTTTTTGTGATATTTTGACAATTTTTTTTAGTCGTTGCAAAAATGTTTTTCCCAAAATATTTTTTGGTGCCAATGTTGGTGTTAAATACTAACTTTATAACCAAATCAATAATTATATAAAAATTATAACCTATTACGAATCAATGATTTTCATTTAAAAATTTGCAAAAAAACCAACGTGTCAACATGGATAAAAGACACGTGTGTACCGCGAGATGCTGACTACCTTGGATGTGTTTTTAGGACATTCTAAAACTTTCAAGGTTCCAAAACACAGCATTTTAACTGGAAAACAAATTCCCTACTAGTGATAGATAGACTTTAGTTGTTCAGTATCAAAGTGACTTGAAGGAAGCTCTGTGTTTGAAGTGTCGTTTGGAGCCAAGGAAGGGAATAAAATCTCTCCTGGAGACCACTGCGAGCTTCATAAGAGATGCTCTGATTGATCCAATACACCTGATTTGGTTATATAAAAAAAAGGCTAGTGTGACCGGGGAGTTTATTGTCTTCTAAAGTACATCAAACAAAAAGAACTCACAAAATAAATCAGATTACAAAAGGTGGTCCCTGAAACATTTCCTCATGCTTATCACTTTGAATATATGCCTCAGAAAGCAACTTTAAACGTCATAGAATAGCATAAACTTCTTTCAACCTTAGCTTTTTGTGTGCGGTGATTTCACACAATAAACAAATGGACAGATTTTTTCTTTGAAGAACACAGGATTTACCTGAAAGTCAAGGATCTTGAGGCAACAGAAAGTGAAAAAGATCGTAAAAAGTAAGTGATGAATTGCTTTTCCAGCTATCTGCGCAACTTCGGCGAGTTGAAAAAGAATCTGTCACTCAAAAGAGAGTTAGAAAGGTGCTGGAGTGTTTTCCAATGTGACCCCTTCGACGGTCAAGTCAATATATGTGAAAAAGGGGTGAAAACAATGTTGTATTGCTCAATAAGATTCGCGTACCTTTCTTTTTGTTTGTGAGGACTATTTATACTTTTATGGAGGTACTCATTGCGGACAAGTGAGCCTCAAGGGGGAAGTCCCCCATTGGCCCATTTGACAGGCAGCAGGCGGTGGTGCTCAGTCATTGAGCAGGGTGTCTTCTATTTTGCGCGAGAGGACTATAAAGATTAATTGCTCGGAGTCCAGAGCACTTAATGTTCTTCCTTTGGGAATCTCCAAGCAATAAACACGTCCCATCCCTCTGATGAATCATTAATTGCCTTGCTGTGATGGCTGTGAACGAGTAGGAACATCTTTGTTTTTTGGCCCCTAATTATGTACTCTTTGCCACGTGATATGTCATCATTGGGTGTGGGTATGTCCCCCTTGCCATTTTGACTGTTTTGAAAAGAAAAGTTAATGATTATTGACCAAATTTAATTTCAAATGACGATAATCGTCATTTTGACACCTCTGTTTCAGAGTCTTGGAGTCAAGGTGACGTGTTTGGAATTGGATCTCGGGGTCATTCTTCACGCCGAGGACACGCGTCAATCGCATACGGTGTCGAGGGGAATTGAATCAAGGATACGTGTCACAATCTGAGCACTCCGAGGGGTATATGAAGAGGACACGTGTCGTTTGCAGGACTCGGTAGAACCACTAGTGCCAAGGACGTGTGTTACCATCGGATGGAAACGAGGAACTCTAGAGTCAAGTACACGTGTCGTAATTCCAGAACTCTTAAGAACTTTGGTGTCGAGGACACGTGTCACAATTCCAGCACCCTGAGGAGCTCTGGTGCTGTGAACATGTGTCATTTTCTGCTGATGGCTTGGAAATATTCCATCACTTACTATAATGCTCTAGGTTCTACATGCTTTCCTTAATTCCTTGACCTTTCCTTTACCCTTGATTGAAAGAAAGAAACTCATGGAAGATCTTATAATTTTGGAACATCTTATCATTGCCTCCAAAATATGAGTCATGAACATACCCATTTACACAAGTAGGATTGATAATCGAGTCATGTCTATCGAGCTCATTCTAAATGAGTAAAAAAATTATTCAAACTCGACTTGTTTAGAATCAAGCTCGAATCAAGTTTAAAACGAACCAAACTCAAGTCGAGTTCAAGCTAAACCTAAGCCAAGTCCATGTAGCTGGACTCGATTATTAACCCTACACACTAGTAGATGAATCAATTGCAGAACACTTCGAAACATCCGTTGGACTTTTTTGTACAAAAGAGAGTAAATGCAGTTGTCTGGGTTGTTAAAACCTTGATATGGTTTGTGAGACACATTTAACTTATGCTTTTAGAGTAATTAGTTGTTTTATACTCTAATAGAGCTATAAATTCATGGGGTTTCGGGTTGAAGCCTCAGTTGAAAGCAAGTAAAAAAAATTGAACCGTTCAATAGGCTTAACAATTCTAGAAAAGATTTGCAAACACGACATAAAAACTACATAGAATCAGTGGGTTTGAGCCAAGGGCGGAACCAGAATTTTAGGTTAGATGGGATAAAAATACAAATAAAAAATTAATCAACTAGCACAAATAATTTTTCCAAGCCTCTATTAATGAAAACTTAATTGGATTTGATTTTGATATAAAGAAATCCTTAAGTTCTAGCACGAGATAGAACTAGTATCAATTCTGCCTCAACAAAATATGTACACGGAACATGATGTTATTGTTACAAATTTCAAAAAATCATCTATAATTGATTGATTAAATGCTAAATTTTTCAACGATTTTCTTTTGATGTATGCAATCACATATCATCATTAATCATACTACAAAAGTCTAATTGTGACATCCCTCATCTTGTTCAGAAATTAATTCTTTGGACAAACAAACGGTTTTGGCCGACAATTTTGCACTTTCGCGCCACTTACTTCAGTA